CCAAGGGACGTGTGTACTGCTCAGCAGTTCGCTCCGTCCTTCTCTATGGCTGGCTCTGAAACATGGCCAATACGAGTTGAAGACATGAAAAGGTTGACTGTTTTTGATCATAGATGTCTACGATCTCTTTCTCACGTTAGTGGCATAATAAGGTAAGTAATGTTGACGTTAGGTTAGGCGTAGGGTGTTGGGCAAAGAGGGAAAATCAATCGAAGAGGCTATAAAGTTACATAGATTGGGATGGCTAAGTCACGAGTTGCGCATGCCTAACCATCGCCTTCCCCGACGGGCATTACTAGCTGATACAGGTGCAGGTTGGAAAAGAGTAAGTGGTGGCCAAACAAAAACATGGCATCAATCCATGAAATCCTTGACAATTAAACTGAGTCAATCAGGTAGGGAGATGCATACTTCCCGGTTGGGGCCCGCCCTCGGGACTCTAAGAATCAATGGCTGGAGACAATAGGTGTGACACGGCTCAAAATCGTTGTCAATGGCTTACGCAGATGTATTCAGTCTCTTCTGTAATCTTTCAAATTCCTTCCTACCATTACTCATTCTGTTTCACTCTTATACTTGTCAAAACTCTATTGATTCTCTTCACTCATTTTCTTGTCTACCTTTGTGTGCTATTTGGAACGTGGCAACTCAAACTGCTGCACTTCGGTGCCGAGTTCTATGTTGAATCCAGCCAGCCAGCCTTCTAAAAGTCTGTCTGTCTGTTTTCGACATAGAACTGCTGCACCGATATGCTGCAGTTCAAGTCGCCACACACTCCCTCCATTCCATGTAGTACACAAAGCAACAGAAGAAAGTAGAAGAAATGCATAATAGAGAGACAGTAAACACAGAGGTGTGAGACAAAGGAATAGTAATAACGAAGAACAATATAGTTTCATTTGAGCCATATCATCACCAATTGTTTCCAGCCTTCATTGGTTTTTACCGTCATCCCGAGGACCACAACCAGTCAGGAAGCCAGTCTACACCTTCCTACGTGGCTGGCTGGCTGGTTTAAACTAACTGTTGTGGATTTCTTTATTGACTGGTGAAGCCATGTTTTGGTTTGACCGCCGCTAGCTAACTCTTTCCCAACCTGACCAATCCTATGTCAGCCAGCTAACATTGCCCGTCAGTCGAGGAAGGCGATGACCAGGCATGCATGCGTAACACATGTCCTAACCACCTCACTCAGTCGATGTAATTTCACAGCCTCATTGTCGATTGATTTCCCCTCCCACAAACCTAGCACTCGACCGACGCCTAACCTCAATATTGCTAACTTTATTATAACCACTTCACACGGGAGATAAAAACGCAGGCGCCTATGATCGAAGACAGCTAGCCAGCATCTTCATGTATTCCTCTCTCAATGGTCAGTTCTCGCCATAAAGGAGGACGGAGCGGACTGCTGAGCAGTAATTTTAATTTTTAAAAAAGTACTCAACATTGGGTTCTTTATGGTTGTGGCCTGCATTAGAATCCGAGATATGTGTATATACTGCAGTACTCCTCACTGGTTGACGCGGGTTCGAATCTCAGAAGGAGGGACATGAGCTGTTCCTTCAAGGTGGTTGCAGATACGCCTTGCTGACTGACTGACCGGTGAGCGCCAACTAGCACGAAACCTAGGTCCGGGCAAGGCTTCCTCTGCCGCCGATTGCCTACAACTATCTAATACCATGAAATCAATGTGTGCACCATGATGGCGAGCTATCTGGTGGCATGGTGGCCACATTGCAAACCTGACTGACTGACTGACTGATAGAATTCAGTCTGCATCAGACAACGAAAGGACTGGCCAGACACGTCACACACACTAGTTGCTGACTAGTGTCAAATCAAAATATACAACTAATGCATTGTGCAAGATCATGAATGTGTAAATGTGAGAAAATTAATACGCGTCTCACTCTTCGTTAATTTACAATGCATTAAAAAAAAAATAATAAAAATACACTCACTGCAAAAACTCAGCAACTGAAGCTTCTACCATAGGGAAACTATGCTCATCGACTCGGACGCATGACACCATATCTCGGAGCTTAACTATAAACAGTAAAAAATAGTTTCAAAAGACAGACATTGTTTAGGTTCAACAATTCACATAAATTGTTGTATGTATGTTGCATGAGCTTGGAAATTATCTACATAACTGTTATTTCCATGGAGGATTTCATTTATCATGAGCTGACATCAGTTAGTGAGAACCACTGGAAAACCCACCTGGGAGTACTGGACAGCTGTTTCCCCCGTCCTAGTTTCGGATTGGCTATTCAGCAGTATGCAACCCCCCACTGACAGGGTTCGAACCCAGGACCTTCTGGTTACAACGCGTGCTAGCTCGTACACCAATACTTAATAAACTCATCTGATGCTCACTCACTACCGAATGGCTTTCGCTATTCCGGCAGTTAACCTGGGGTTCCAGTGGGAAGACGTGACCAGTAGGGTACACGGCAAGTCGAAGGTGAAGGCAGTTACTACTCATCGAAGACATTGTGATAAGTGGTAGCGCTATATGTCGTGAGTGAATTGGCAGAAGTTAGAATTCATGGACTGGCTGGCTGGCCATTGGTTCGAAAATCAGTGGCTGCTCAATGGTCTACGAGCTAGCTCGTTGGCCGCCTTGTAACCAGAAGAGGTCCTGGATTCGAACCTCGTCGGTGGGTGCATGCTGTTGAAGAGCCACAAACTAGGACGGGGGAAACAACTAACTGTCCAGTACTCTCCAGTGGTGCTTTTCCAATGGGGTTCTCTAACCGATGTCAGCGGTCATGATGAAATCCTGCAACCAATAAAAAATCCCTACAAAAACCAATACTTTAAAATACTTTTTGCAATACTTGAAAATTAGGCTCTGTAAATGACAAAATGTGGCCGAAGAAGCATCAAAGATAGGAGGGACTTCAGGTGAACATAGAGAAAACAGATCTAACATTGGAAGCTCCCTGAGTCCCTGACTTTCCGATTCCACATAAGTGAATTGAATTACCTCCACCTTTGAGTTAGTTAGTTAATGTGTTCGAAAAATCTGTCTATATCCTGTGTTCTAAGTTTCAGTGAATGTGTCATCTACATACACCTCCACCACACATTTGGGTTGGCAAATACATGTAATAGGAATGATTCAACACCTGTCCACCCAGATATCTGGAAAATTCTACTACCCCAAAGACGATGACAAATAGGAGAGGACAAAGAAAACTATCAGACTCAAGTTTCGAAGTCGTGTGATTATAATTGGTGATGTGTATGATTATGAACAGCAATAATGAATTGTGTTCGAAACAACTTTGTCATCCAGTAAATACTAACACTGTTTCACTCACTCACTGACTGTGTGATACATCCATCTAATAAACAAACTAATATGGAATCACTTACTGCCACCACCACAGTGCCCAAGTTTTACACAAATATATTAAAGGGAATATTAAGACGACTTACCAAACAACCTCAACAAATGAATTGAACCATAAATATCTGACATTTTCTTATCTGTATGATGTTTCAATAGCTCAGCATATTGTAATCGTTCAAATTTGTATAAAAGATGAGAACCAATAGTAAGATTGAAAAAATGCTGAATTCCCGCAACAAATTCACGCCGTACTCCCGCGTTTATTGGCAACTTAGTAGTAGTAGTTAGCTGAGAGTTCTGCGATTCAGAAGAAGTACACTCTTCTTTTGTTTCACCAGTTGATTCTGACTTCTGACTAATTTCAGCCTCACAAGCTTCTAAGAAGTCTGATAAAACATTACATATTGGCTGAGAGGCAGGCAATTCATAAAGCTGTGAAAATTTAACCGAAGAAAAAATAATTTTTAGAAAGGAAAAACCTCTAGCTTCTTGACACACACACATAAACTCACTAGTAGAGGGAATAAAATTCACATTTGAATCGGCAAATAAACAAGCAGAATTAGCTTTTATGATGTTCGATTGTAAAATAAAACGAATAGAAGACGGTAAACTTCACACTAGCGGCGTTTATAAAAAACCAACGAATTCTCCTCATAGATGTTTAGACTTCAATTCGTCTCATCCCTTATCTGTCTGTTAAGTCAGGCTTAGTTAAGTTAAGTGTCTAACAAACCGAACAAGAAAAGACCTAAATGATGAGATAAAACAGATGACCTCTGTGCAAGTTTGTTAAAATTATTTTTGTAAGTATACTACCTAATAATGTCTTTGGCGTGTAAGCAGCTGACGAGAAGGCAACGGAATAGAAGATGGTACCAGTCACTTTATTCTGCAATAACCACTGTTGTTCATCCTTTGTTCAAATAATAACAATAATTATAATGGAATTTTGATACATCGTTGAATTCTCTGAACGATGAAAGGGAGGGTCGCAAGGTTTCTCCCTGTAACAAAAACTACTACACATCCGAATGCACTCTCGACTAGGGTTCATTGCAATTTTCAACCCATCGAGGTGCAACGGTGGCGAGCCAACCAACACTCAAGATAAGAACATTCCTGATCACCCGGAACCAAGGTGAGCCAAGGTACATACTGTGTAACATCTAAGTGACTAAACTGATCACTAAATTAACAAATTTCGACCAACGCTCAAAAATTGGAAATTGCTTTACTGACTGGATGATATAACGCAACTGAAGATTACTTACCCGAGCTTGACGAGTAATCAAATCCCAGTCATCGATAAGCCAAGATTTCAAAGATGGAGGCAGTGACATCGACAAACGAGGCTGAGAGAGAAGGCCATCTTCCTGATATATATGAAAAACAGTGAAAAATATAACGGTAAAGTTGAGAGTATGAATACATACATTTAAAAAAAATAATGCTTTTGCTCCCAACACCTACAAGCCTGCTCAGTTTCTGGTCAACATGCTACTCCCTCTATCTAATTAGTGGTGCTTAAAGTTTAACTTGGCCACACATCGTACCCCCTGGGGAACAAAGAACTGCCAGATGTTAAGGGACAAAACGACTTAGGAATTATTGTAAGCCATGACGCAAAAACAACCGAAAATTGTAATCGAGCTGCAGCTAATACTAGAATGCTATGAGTACTTTGAAGGGCTTTCAAACGATTAGACGAGTCTTTGTTCTAAGTACTCTATGTCAGGCCTCAACAGGAATACTGCATACAAGCGGTGATTTCATGCTTCAAAAAGAGGGCACATATCCTAGAAAGAGTACAGAGGGTAGGAACGAAATTAATTAGTGGTACCTCAAACCTTCCTTATGACAAGACGATGGAGCATTTAAATCTCTTTCCATTATCATACCGAAGGAGGAGGAGAGGTGACTTAATTTCCGCATACCGTACATTAAAGGATGATTTAGGAATTCATAGTCTTCACCGCAAAAATGTGCTCAGACCTAGGTCGAATAATAATACATCTACAATTTAATTTAGATCCTCTCACAGAATGGTCAACAATTGCAACTCCTTACCTGATTCAGTAGTAACAGCTCCATCGGTGAACGATTTCAAAGAGAGAAATTAGATTTCTGCAGAGATGTATATTTCAAGGATTAACACAGACCAGAAGAGCTTTCTATCTTTATTATCTTGATCTGAAACACAGCTTCAGCTCAAAGAAATATTTAGTCTCATGAACAACTTTCTAAGAGGACTTGAAAACCAGAGGACAGTTAAAAAAAAGGGAATTTGTTCGCAGGAGTGAACATACAGAAAATTAAATTAATGAGGACAATCTCATGAGGACTAGTGGTCACAGTGTTAAAATACGTTTCGAATGAGCTAGATAACACAAATATCGACTTAGAATTGTCATTTGACACAACGCTGCTACTTTATTGTCTCCTTCAAAGAGGAATTTTCCATATCTCACAAGATGAATCACAATACCAAAGTACAAACTATCTCGGAAAAACAAATTTAAATCGCATAGAATGAAAAATTGTGTCACAATAAACACGAAATACTTGCATTTTCAAGAGACTTCAGCACTGATGACACTCGGCCTTTCCTTCTCCTACTTGATACTGTGACAGGTTGAGTAGATGGTGTGTATGAATCTTCACAACACTTAATGGCTGGTTTAATATCTTCAGTCTCTTTCAAATCAGCAGACACACGAGTAACAGTTTTCCCGTTGGTTTCTTTCTTGGTCTTTATGCTCTTGGCCTTAGGAGCATCTCCCTCTATAGCGCCACTTAGTATATAACCGGGTAATATCTCACCTTGTTTCACTTCACCAGGCTTCAGTGTCCGTTCCACGTCCTCCAGGACTTCTGGAGGTGGCAATGACTGTGACTTCAAGTCGGACTTCCTCAAAACTTTCACTTTGCCCGATTTTCTGAAAATTACAAGAAGCATCATGATCAGAAACGTTGCTTTACACAAGTTACATTTGTCGCTCTAATTCTTTTTGTTTTCTCAATCCCTCTTCATTATACTTGAACATACGTTTCTCTGTCACCCATTCATCCCAGCTATATCAAAACGTAAATCAATACTGAAATATTGTTACTTTTTATTCCAACCTTGGTAATGCACAAAATACATTACACCATCTTCTTTCACTTTGACGTCTAGACATTTTGCCTCATACATAAGAGGCCCATGGAAACAAAGTAATCTTTCACCTTAATGCACGTGATTCTATATAAGAAAACAGTAAGCATCTTACCTATTTCATATTTTGGTTTTAAATCCAAGCTACTCATAGTCACTCAAAATTCAATACACGCTCTCTAATGTCCAATATCCAATATCCTGATTACGAGCTAATAGAAACCAGTGATTTCTTTGAGCTCGCCTCTTGATTGTAAGGTAGAGGTTCCAGATCTTTGGTGAACTTGTGCATAGTAAGTCCCGCTACTCGACTGCTTTAGCTCTGGTAGACTCCAAGAGGAGTGGTGCGGGGATTGGTCAAAATGTGGTTTGTAGTATGCAGTATGTTAGGACTGTGTTGCTGTCGTGAATGGAGTTTGGCTTAACTCCCCTTGGTCACTCGGTGTAGTCATAAAAGCAGAATAGAAATAATAATAATATGTTATAGTGTAGATAATATAGGTTGAGATAAGTGAAATAATAAAGGTGACCTAAGGAAAAGATAGAGTAGTCGGTACAGTGAGAGAAGACAGAACGGGTCGTTGGGATTTAGTTTGTATGCTTATCCATTGACAGTGTGGTTTTAAATTTTAAGAGGATAAGCCATTGAGACACAACCTTGCATTTCTGCATGATTGTCCAGCTTCCGCTTAAAAGTCTCCACAGATGGCGCTGTAGTCACGGCCGCCGGTAAAGCGTTCCAGAGACAGCAAACTCGAAGCGAAAAGAAATGTGAACGCACTCGAGTCTTTGGTCTCTAGTGTGCTATCATTAACGGGTTACCTCGTGGAAGCGCATAATCACTTTAGGGCAGGATGCTTTTATTTGGGTGGGCCTGGTCATTTAAGATCTTGTAGACAGTGATGAGGTCTCCCCTGTGACTACGGTAGCTAAGTGTGAAAAGACTTAATTTCTTCAGTCTTTCCTCGTATGATTTGTTGCGGAGGCCGATCACCTATTTTGTCGCTCGTCTCTGGACACTTCCTAGGATGTTAGCATCCCTTTTGAGTAGCGAAGGAGCAATGATATTATGCACCTCAAGGTGTGGCCTCACGTATGTCTTATACAACCTTGAGAATAGTTCGGGAGTAAGAGCTTCCAGCTGCCTATGCATGAAGTGTAAAGTTGCGTGGGCTTTGGCGACGTCCCTCATGTAATTTCCACTGGTGTCTAGCTTTTGTGTTAGAATAAGACCTAGATCGCGCTCTGATGGCACACAGTTTACAGTTTACAATTTATTTAGGATAGTAGGCTATATGCCTGTGTTAAGCCTTTCGATTTGTTACACACAGGAGGTCCAATCTCGCCTTGAATGAATCAACGGATGACGCTGATACGACGTGTTCCAGTAGGGAGTTCCAATGGTTCACAATTCGATGCGAAAAACGGATCTCCAGACGCAGACGATTCGACCGTGGTTTTTGAACCTTGAGGTGATGTCCTCGCAATTGGTTGGTGCTAGAAGGAAGAAATAAATTAGGTAAATTTGCTCCAAAATCATTTCTTAGGATACGGTATGCTAGTATTAGGTCACCCCTAAGTCGTCTGTATCATAGTGGAAATAAACCCAGTCGACTTAACCTCTCTTCATATGAGAGGGTTGAGAAACATTTTATTAGCTTAGTTCCTACTCTTTGCATCCTTTCTAATAAGTCTGTTTCGTATTTGAAACACGGGCTCGCTGCCTGGATCCCATATTCCAAATGAGGTCTGATATAAGTCGGATATAATATACGAAATATTTCAGCGTCAAAATTCGCAAAAGCCTTGCGTATGGCCCATAATATTCGAAAACCTTTAGTGGCTGCAGCTCTACAGTTTGTTGCTGTTTTCAAGTCATGCTGCACAACCACTCCCAAGTCCTTGTACTCAGTGACCACTGGGGCAGTAATGCCATTCATTGAGTAATTGTGCACGTGACTATGAGATACATGCATAACTACACTCTTGCTTAAGTTGATCTCCAAGGCCCAGTGCTTACACCAATCACTTAACAAGTTTAAATCTTCCTGCAAAGCAAGTTGATCACTGTCATCATGTAAAGCCCTCCATATCTTGATGTCATCAGCAAACAGTAAGTAGGATGACTTAACTACCGATGGAATCTCATTAACATAAATCAGGAAAAGAAGTGGGCCTAGAATTGTACCCTGAGGAACGCCACTCTTAACCGATTCCCATGTTGATAAAACCCCGTTAACTCGTACTCTTTGTCTTCTGTCCTTTAGAAAGTCTTGAATCTAGTTGGCAACCACTTTATTGATTCCCAGACTACCTAACTTTAGTAGAAGACCTGAATGAGAAATCCTGTCAAACGCCTTGCTTAGGTCGATGAATATGGCATCCACCGGTATATTAGCATCAGCTGAGCTTGCCCAACTTTCTCTGGCCAAAAGAAGGTTGGTCAAGCAAGAATGACCTGCTCTCAAACCATGCTGTTCCACAGCGAAAAGTTTGTTCCCTTCAATGAACTGAATGATAGCATCACGAATTATTCTTTCTAGTAGTTTAACAACAATACTGGTCAAACTAACAGGACGATAGTTCTGAACTAAGTTTCTAGATCCGGTTTTGAAGACCAGACTAATGATGGCATCTTTCCAGTCTCTTGGACATTTAGACTGGTCCAGAGACATATTGAAGATTACCGACAATGGCTCGGCTATGTTTTG